GTCTGAAGCTACCACTAAGACCTTGCAGATTCTCTGTATGCGGTTACTGATTTGGCACGCCGTACTATCATTGATATTCGCTTGCGAGTAGAAGATGGAAAGAGTTCTATACTTTGAACACATTCATTCCAACCTTGTTGAGCACCCGCATGCGTGGAAAATACCGTATCAGAAGTGGAGGTGGCTTTGTTTCTATCAGTTGTGTGGAGTCGGTCAATATCTCCCTCACCCTGGGCATAACATATCTCCCGTAATCGACAGCCTCATTATAATTATCATATCCGCGAATCGAGATAAACTCCGTCGCCATCGCACATAACAACACTATACAAAATAGTTGCAGCAATATTGATCCTCTAGAAAGCCTGCTGTGTCATTAGGCCTTAATTTGGGAGCTTATGCCATAATTAATAAGATCACTGTGACTAGCATTTGTGCTTTCTACAGCAGCTAAATTAAAGCTCGATTCAAGTTATGATTACCATGCCAAACTCACAAGCAATGAAGGGTGACTTCTAAGAGTAGCAGTCAATAGATCCCATCAATGAACGGTTGCACCCTATTATCACATACGAGATGGAAACACCCTAAAGATATTGTTAAAGTCACTGGCGGCAACAAAATATTTTTTGCAAAGCTAATGGGGTTCCCACGGTGAATCCTTCCCAGAAAATGACCAGATTAGACAGGTGCGACAGCCATAGACTGTATTACAGAGAGTTTCGTCTCGGTAGGAATCGCTGAGTACACACTATCCGCAATGTGATGGGGCTGCTGGAGAGATATGCCCCTGGAATGAATCCATAAACCCTGGTTCCCATCAGTCTACACAGGGCCTGTGAATGGTTAGCATAGAGATCACATGTATGGCAAATCAGCCTTATATTACCCATCCATCATCAAAAATATGCTCTAAACTCACCAACTGTCCCTTTTTGACTTGTAGATGGCAACTATGACGGGGAGTGAAGTCCATATTGACTTGGCGAATCTGAACATTGCTCAGCTGCATTAAAGGAACCATAGTCTGCACCTGCCCTAGTTTTCGTCCGGTAATGTCTTCCTTGACTGCTATTGATCGTTGCTCTTTATTTTCATCCAATATTTCTGTAGCCACTGTGCTGATACTGATATCATCCTGAGACAAAGGTCTTTGTATTGACCAGTTCACTGACTCGACAGCCAAGGAAAACGGCGGCTCGTCCTTGCAGAGGTCAGTTGGAAGGATCTATGGAATATGGATGAGGATTCTGCTTAGGAACTACGCAGGAATCTTTACTTACTATCTCTGACTCCTTGGCCGTCTGCTTTTGGAATAAGGACTTCACATATTGGATAACCTGTGGGAAGCAATCCATGATTGGATAGTAGTAAAGTACAGTCGGAAATGTAAAGGTCGGTAGCAAAGACGGAGATTAACTGCAACGACTGGAATCACTTCGAAATAAGTGGTATAGATCTTGATCTGGATATGCGGGTGTTTTTCTGACGAGCTGCAGAAAAGAGCAATGCCTGATAAAGGGGTCCAACTGCTGTGTACACTAAACTGATTGATGATGCTGCGAAAGACAGCCTTCTTAAGTACATCACTTCTTGAAAATTGGCCGAGTCAAACTGTGCTCAATACTAATGAACAGCAAGCAATTTTGCTTGCATGATATACTAGATAGATTCCAAGAATTGAGCCATGAGCATACATATATCCCTTGCGACCTTACCATACCTATTCATGGTCAATGCAGTATTTTCCTGCCAATTTGCCCACCCTGTAATGAGGTAATATTGAAAATAGCACCTCAAACTTTACAGGCATAAAAGCAGCGAGCTTTCTCTCTGGTACTGATGTCGAAGACTCAAAATTGTTGTACAGCAGCGTTGCTGGACATTCCCAAGTTAGTTGTAACCATAGCTACCCAATTAGTGGTCAAAGAAGGAATGGGCTTGATAATGAAGGAATAAAGTATAGTTCCTTTGAGATGCTGGCTTGGAATTAGTCCATGTTCCGTCCATGGACAGATGCATGGCCTTTCAAGAACCCTTATAGAAATACCACTAAGTAAAGTACAGGAAAGTCTCCATACTTTTCCTGTCAAAACAAACTGGAGCTCTGCTAATTCGCTCATAGTCCCTTTCCATGTCTCAAATTAGTCTTGTCAGAGCAAAGTTAGCATTATATTGACATTAATCAATAATGATCAGAATCTCCTTACAGTCATGCGGGATCGTTGTAGATGCTGAAGTTGTAGACAGACCAGCCCAATTTAAGACCTGTAGATATTCTATGTGAGTTCATTGCATTCTAAGAATTGATTCATTCATTTATGTTTCTAAACTATCTTTCTAGAATGGGACCAATCCTTAGGATATTTCATATTTAACAGCAACCGACTTTGGCTTGTGTCTGCCAAAGTGGCTGAAGCTCTAGGATGAGTACAAGAGGAATTCAAGTTCATATGGGTCTTGACTGATAGTTCATTGCCACAAAGAGGGAAATTATAATTTCAGCACTTATACAGAATTCAGAGTGTCCCCATTACTTATTTGGCCATTAGAGCAGACTTACTACCCTTACTTTGTAGTAATGCATTAATGCACACATTGCTTGCAGAATGATACATGATTAACATAGGTAGGTAAGGAAAAACACTGCATGACGACTATCAAATATTATAGACCTCATTTTGGCCAGACATCTATTTTTTAGGTCTCCTGTGCTATGGTCAATTTCTGATGTAACCGTGGAGCTTTAGAGCGATAGTTCCATTGTGGCTGTCCTTGTGCTAAATATTCGTTACACAGGCTGCGTCGCTATGGTCATCCCAAAGTATGCGTTAAATTGCTGGGGATATAAGCTATCCATTCGATGCTTAGGCCAGTATGCAACGTTCCCACATGGGCCTGTGTGCCGGCTAAGCACACGAAGACACTCATTTCTTCTTTGCCTTCACGCTTCCCAACTCTATGATTGCTAAAAGGGGAAAATAAAACAAAATTGCGTGGAGTACCATCCGCAGAATCACTTTTGTTCCATTGCAATTTCTGTATACGAACCATACCACTGTTCTCAAATAAAGGGTAGAGATACCAATTAGTAAGCCTAGTAAAGATGGGGCATGCATGCTTCGTTCTAGCTCATCCTTGACATAAATTCGCGCTAGCTGCCCCCTATGATCATCTGTGTCCGATCTCAAACATACCTAAGGGCATGCTAAACTTCCACTACTAGCGTCCCTTTGGCCCTTGCTGACCATGGTAAGTTTGACCAAGAAACACAAATAGGAGGCGACAAAACTGAATAACATGCTTTGAGCTAACCGTCCTATGATGATCTGAAAATGGTAAAGTCCTGACCTACTGGGAGATGGTAATATGGGACCAGGTCAACACCACCAGTATGGTTTATCTTAGTAAAATGTATACTATTTAATAGAGCCTTAAAGGAGTAATCTAATACTATGATGAGTAATATTTGAAAGAGTAAAACATAGCAAAGAGTTCCTTATCTAAAGGAGGCTAGGGAGACCCCGAGACCGGGTTAAGGCCAGGACTCCGACCGGTCGGGTGCCCTCTTGGCCATGTTGGGGCAAAAGCCAAGCTCCAGCTGACTTCACGGAGTCCCAATTTTCCAACACAGTCTTATGAAGAATTGGCTCCATGGAAAGACAGAATCAGGCTCCTGTAGGGTCAAGCTTTAATATCTTAGCCAGGCAGGGTCGGGACTCCATATTTAATGGCACAGAATCCACTGGAACTGGAAACGAGTCCGTGCTACTCTTCAGATGAAACACCGTTTGCCAATTCGGCATTAGAGTCACAAATAAAATGCCATGAAGGGAGCAGGCTAGTTCCCAAGAGCCGGGTGGAACAGGGTCAATAGCCTTAATTACCCCTCGATTGCAGGGTCGATAAGGTTCGTGCAAATTGCAGAGCACCGCATGACACTGTCGGCAGTGTGAAGATAATGGAGTCGTGCGGCAAGCACTGATCGATAATTCACTGATACAATGGTGAGGATAAGTGTGGTTCAAGGTTCATCCTTCTACCATTGTGGGCTTGTAGTTCATGGCCAACTCTAAATTTTTTTCCAGTGTATTGTTATCCCTGCAGACCCTCCGTCTCCTAGTGACCAGAAGCCTGCCTGGATAAATTTTCACCTGCGAGTACATGCCGGACATGTCCTGCAGGCAGGAGATGGGCGTACCTGCGTGGATATGTAGATGAACTTCTTGGCAATATCATCCAACTTGTTCCCCTCTGGTTCGTTGGCACTGGCACCTCCCCGATCCTAAGCGACGCCCTGGGCTCACATGGTCAATGCCAATGGGAAGCAGTAAAGGAACGCCCAGCTTATCGATCTGCACGTGTAGACTACCAGACCATTGACGCGGTCCCGAGGAGCGACCTTGGTATCGTCCAGAATGGCAGCGTTTCAGGTTCTTGGATCTGGCACACCCATCTGGACGAAATTCTAGTAGACTAAATAGGGACAGGCTCGGGAGCCATTTAACTATGCTTAGATTTTTTAAGCTTTCCTAAGAAACCTGGCTCAGAGTCTCCCACTAGGTAATATTATCCCTATGATGTTATATACAGAAAGACTGTTGGATATCTACACGTAAACGGCTTAGTTAATGTAATATCTCGATAAATCCCCAGAAATGTTGAAATATGCGCCGGGAAACGGAGTGGGAAGAACTGTTACAGGGACTTGACGCTGGGCGTGTCCACAGCCTTCAAGCAATCTTCATCGAGCAGTCAATAGTATGGGAAAAGTGTGACGGCCTTGGAAGAGCTGTAGACACTATCCCTAGAGCTCTACAGATGATGATCTGTTGCCTAATGTCGGATTGTAAGATGCCCAGACGAGGGTTGCCGTGGTGATCGATTATCATGCAAGGCTGACAGCTGCCTGCGTTGCAAAGCATAAAAAACGCAGCACCCCCTAAACAACTCTCCCTAAAGAACATCATCAATATTCTGTGACATTTCACAGTGACAAAATGACAGATATTGAAAATATCGCCAACCTGATCAAAAGCGGCCAGGTGCACCGGATCGTTGTGCTTGTTGGCGCAGGCATCTCCACCGCGGCCGGCATCCCCGACTTCAGATCGCCCGAGACTGGCATTTATGACCGGCTCAAACCCCTTAACCTGCCCTATTCAGAAGCCATCTTCCACATCAGCTACTTCAGGCACACCCCCGAGCTGTTTTACGCCATCGCGCGCGCCAGGCATCCTCGCAACCTCAAACCGACTATCACCCATGCTTTTCTCGCTCTTCTAGCGAAGAAGAACCTTCTCCATTTTGTGTTCACACAGAACATAGATGGCTTGGAGCGGGATGCCGGTGTCCCAGAGGACAAGATCCTCAATACACACGGGAGCTGGCGGACCCAGCGCTGCTGGAAGTGCAAGACCCCCTATCCCGATGACTTGATGAAACAAGCAATCAATACAGGCACTGTCCCGTATTGTCAGGTCCCTGACTGCGGGGGAGCTGTAAAGCCTGACGTGGTGTTCTTCGGACAGTCTCTCCCCGCGGAATTCGCTGAAAAAGAGAAGAAAGTTTCCGAGGCGGATATGATGCTTGTCATGGGGACGAGCTTAAGGGTTGCTCCGTGCTCGAATCTGCCGCGTTTGGCTCGTGAAGGCGTTCCACGGGTGCTAGTCAATCGCGAGACGGCAGGAGACTTTGGAAAGCGGGCGGAAGATGTGTACATCTTGGGCGATTGCGATGACGGGGTACGCAAACTGGCGGATGTCCTTGGATGGACTGAGGAGATGGAGTCGCTGTGGAAGGAGGCCGTTGCGGCCAAAGAAGCAGCACAGGAGGATTGTGGAGAGGAGGAGAGTCTGGACGATTTAATCGACAAGTACGCGAAAACGCTAAGGGATGCCAGGAAGATCTCTGACGGCCATAAACGGATGTTGGAAAACCATCTGGAGACGAAGTTTGCCGATGTCCTAAATAAGAGCAGGTAGTTTAGTATTTGGTTTTTCTTTTTGATAAGCCCCAGTATAATGGTGGATACAGCACAATTCTACATACATGGATGTCGATATGAAATGGTCTACCGGTTCCGTCCTTGAAATGAGTCATACACTTAATTACTTAACCTTGTACCGATCTCCAACTATTTGTCAAGCACCTTCAACACGATTCTTTGCCAAATTCACATTCGCATCATGAGTCGTTTGTCAGATGCTATAGCTCGCCTTGGTCCTGCCATTCAGCGCACCTCGGATCCTCGCCCAGTTGTCCTGATGACATGCGGAGTGGCAGGTATGTATGTCAATCCATCACCATAGATGTACCTGCTAACTCAGCAGGACCTGGAAAGTCCACTCTCGCAAAATCGGTCTGCTCCATCTATCCATCTTTTACACGCATCAGGCCTTGACCAACCCAAAACCCCTGCCACCACTATAACATCATAAGGTTCTGCTTTGCCTTTAACCAGTAACATAATTCGGTTCTATTCTAAGGAGGCACTGACCAGCCTTCACAACCAATTAGCTTTCCAAATGTGATGGTAGCCAAATATCTAGTGGTTGCTGAGACATAAGAGAATAATCATTCCTGGTTATGGGTTGGTATGAAAGTGGTAGTGGTTTATATATATATCAACCTTCCGACAACCACGATGGTGCAAGAATGATTTTTAACCACCACCCATTCAACCCTATAGATATTGAATTAAAAATTTAGATATAGATTAATATAATAATAATTACCTTATATTTCATATAAAATTTATAGTTTTCTGTAAGCATGCTAGATAGGCCCTAAGCATAGGCCTAAGATGGGAGAAATTGAAATTTAAAAGCCATTAAATTCAGCGGTTCATCCAACCCGAAACCAAACCGAATCTAACCATGGTGTTAGCTCCTAATATAAGTAGTTTAGCCGTGCCAAGATTCGCGTTTTGTAGTGAAACTCGCACCGAATCACACCGGGTCAGGTTTCATATTGTTGGAAACCGCGATACCGTTACGAATTCAGAAATCACTAGTATTTCGCATACAAATGATAAATCAAGGAAGGTCTGATTCTTTCTAACTTAGTATCTAACAAATGTATATTTATACTACCGGAATCGTATCCCAGGGGCTTATAGATTAATAGATTAAAAATAATTCTGAATAATGTGTACATTGTCTCCCCTTAGCATGGATGCATGCAGTGGGTAATAATCACACCGTAGATTAGAAAGGAAAGTAGGGCAAAGAAGCTAACTTAATTCCATCAGTTTATACCAAATACCCCTGCCCCAACACCTCTGGATACCTTATACACTGACTGCAGAAGTCTAATCCGGCCCCATTCTCAAGCCCATTGTTGATAAGGTGATCTGCTTTGAATGGAGAGGGTTGTTTTATGGCGAAAGGTTTGGCTGGTCTCAATATCCTGAATTACCCAAGAAGGCCATCAACAATCTGGTTTAAAAGGCCTCCAAGTTTCAAAGCACCTGAGCGCCCATCAACAGTCAAGGTTGCAAGAGTGCTGCATGCCTGTACTATAATTTAGCATTTACCACCTATAGCAGCATGCTAGAGGAATACTTACCTGCTCACGCTGGTCACAGCAGATTAGGACATCCCCAGTAACACATCTGCCATCCTCGGCAGCACGACCGCAATTGCCAGTGGTGAGAGCGGCAGTTGCAGGGCAGCAGTAGCATGCTGAGGTTGTGCTGCCTGGGTGGAAACCAGGATCAGTGCTCATAGGTCCAGGAGCAGCAATAACAAGGCTAAGAAAGCCAAAGGCAAGTGTAGTAGTGGTGAAATGCATTTTAAGATAAAGGATTCCTGGAGGTCTGGAATAGTGTTGAATTTTGCTGTATAAGTTGATTTGCTAGCACAGGATGGCTGGGAGGGAAAGTAGGCTGATGTTGAAGTAGATAGCAGACAGTGTATATGGTTATATAGTATTCCTCCTAGGGGATAAAACTTACTAATATCTATATAAACTTTTTAATTAAGGCTTAACTCCCTAATTAGACATGTAAAGGCCATGCTAAGGTATGTAAATCTTCTATAGCTCCTGCTATAAATAATTATTCTATAAGAATTAAGGAATGCTCCTCATACCTCCATATACCTAGTCATCTAATTTTATAAAATAATAGCATTTTTATATTCTATAATACAATAGGTCCTTACTGCAAGTAGTAGGGAAAACTGAATACTCTATTCTATAGCTATTTCTAGGTATTTAGCACATCCCTCCCTGAAGTAGCCAGCAAACCAGATACTCCATGCTATAGCCATTTCTAGGTATTCAGTGTGTCCCTCCCCAGTGGAGCTGGCAAACTGAATACTCTATGCTATGGCTATATCTAGGTATTCAGTGTGTCCCTCCCCAGTGGAGCTAGCAAACTGAATACTCCATGCTATGGCCATATCTAGGTATTTAGTATGTCCCTCCCTGAAGTAGCCAGCAAACCAGATACTCTATGCTATAGCTATATCTAGGTATTCAGTGTGTCCCTCCCCAGTGGAGCTAACAAACTGAATACTCCATGCTATGGCCATATCTAGGTATTTAGTATGTCCCTCCCTGAAGTAGCCAGCAAACCAGATACTCTATGCTATAGCCATTTCTAGGTATTTAGCACATCCCTCCCTAGTGGAGCTGGCAAACTAAATACTCTATGCTATAGCTATATCCAGGCATTCAGTACATCCCTCCCTAAAGTAGCCAGCAAACTAGATGCTCTGTGCTATGGCCATTTCCAGGTATTCAGTGCACCCTCCCCAGTGGAGCTGGCAAACTGAATACTCCATGCTATAGCCATATCTAGGTATTCAGTGCATACCTCCCTGAAGTAGCCAGCAAACTAGATGCTCTACACTATAGCCATTTCCAGGCATTCAGGGCATCCCTAACCTATCCTCAGTGAAATAGACATACTTTCTTATGTACTGAGAGCACTATACTCTCACCATCTCTATCAAACAACAAATGTGGAAGGATGATAGTTTTATAAAACCCTGCCTTCCCCAATATAGTAGTAAATGGAGGCCGATTTCTAAATCCTGCACTGTCCTCTTTATATATGGGACTCCCGAGTTGACTTTCTCATCCGCGCTAGTTTTCAACATGAGTTACCACCTCCTGCAAAAGGAATCGTCAGAGGAGCACATTATAGGCGCAGACCCTGGACCTCAGAATGGCCAACCAACATACATCCGCAGTATCTTTCTGCATCCTGGGATAAGGAGTATTCTAATGCTGATGATATTGATTACAAACTTGATTCTCTTATTTATCTCAATTCCACATCCAGCACATACCTCATGCGTTTCTGCTCATAGCAATGAGACTATCCTCCATACATCATTTACCCAAGATAGGGCTTTCCAGTCTCTTGATCACGCATATGATGATATGTGGGGAGGTCTTTCGCTAAATAAAACCACTGCGGGTTTGATCAGCATATCAGACAATGGACGTGATGAAGGGAATGGAGCTATAAGCATGTAAGTTCTATCATATGTCATTGCAGGTGAAACATGAAAGCAGCAGAGATGTGTTCAATGCATTTCATCTAATCTCTAAACAGGTTCCACCAACTGCATTGCCTCACAATGTTGCGCAAAGCCCTCCAGTCTGCTTCAGAGGGAAAGAACATAGGTGTTGACTGGCATGATGATGATCACTGGCCTCACTGTATGGACTACTTAGCGAAGGTGAGATTCTTGCTATTGTCATATTGACTGAGGTAGAAGGTCCAGGCTTCTGACTACAGCGACTCTAGACAATCCTATGCTTCGCAGATGACACAATTGAAAGACCACTGCGGCGATTAGATGGTAATGAATTTATTGATGGATCTAATGCTGTACGGAAATGCCGACCTACGCAACCACTCTACAGTCTCTACGCTAGGAAAGGCCTATAGGTAATGACTGTTTGGTACTGCAATATGTTCTTCTGAAGTATATATTCTAGACCACAGGGGAGAACTTAGGGCTTAGTGATGTAAACAGCAGTATAACTTATTTGATATTCTTATTCCACATTTGTTGTTCAGTAGAGATGGTGAGAGCATAGTGCTCTTAGAACACTAGATAGTATGTCTATTTCACTGGGGATAGGTTAGGGATGCACTGAATACCCAGAAATAGCTATAGCATAGAGTATTCAGTTTTGCCAGCTACATTAGGGAGGGATGTGCTGAATACCCAGAAATAGCCATAGCATAGAGCATTTAGGTTTGCTAGCTACTTTAGGGAGGGGTATACTAAATGCCTGGAAATGGCCATAGCATAGAGTATTTATATTTACTAGCTACTTTAGGGA